TGTGCATTCGTACATGACTCTTTGCCACCAGGGTATCACAATGAATTTTAAGCAGTGGGCGATGGATTGCTGTGAAATGCGTGGACGTGTTGAGTTGTCGACCGCCTTTCCATGTTACCCCAGAAACCAGAGGGTGTTGAACATAACAAAATGAAGGACTCCTTTCGTAATGTATACGAAAACCGAAGAAACGGGGCTCTTTCCGGGATGTGTTAAACATAGAATCGAGAAATTGAACGAGATTCCCCCGTCCCGTAAAGGTTGGTCGGAGGAATCCAGTAGGCGAGATTGTCAACTGGGCCTTTCTCGCCCCCAAGCCAATCATCAAATTCGTTCGAAAAGTCGGTCAGGTCTAGACTTTTGAAGTCTGGTTGGCGCCTTGCAGAAGAAAGACGCAGAAAATAGAATGTCATTATTGGGATGCAAAGTGCTCTCCATGAGGAAGACCGCGGCTGCGTTAACGATGGTGGCCGGGGAAGCAATGCCGGTTGATCTACCGCGAGCACCACCACCTGCTGGCATGGAGGGTGATGTAAATCCTCACTCTGTCGAGTAACTCATACCCGAGAGCTTGGGGCTCTGTTGACTCGTTTAGATCTGCGACAGGGTGAGTTGACGAACAGGCGATGAACGGGCTCCGGCGGGAATGACCAAGCCAAGCATTGGCCGTGCTATGCCGCCCTTGAAAAAGTTGAGCAAACTCAGGGTTTTGAAGGGAAAGGAGGAGATGCTGTTTCAACAATTCGGATGAAGACGAGAGAGTTGGCAGGCCTGGCAGTATGTGTGTGCTGCGCGGCTCAGCCAGCATGGAGCTTGTTTCGTACGCATTGACGGGAGGACGTCAGCAAAGATAAGAGGTGCATGAGGGGTCGTAAGGCAAGGAAGGGTTGAGCGGACGAGACGTTGACAGAATTCCCGTTCTCACTTGAGTCTGGAGAAAGTTTGTGCGTATGAGTCTAAGTGTGAGAGAATGTCTTCGCGATGGTGGTTCAGTTTGACTGAGCCTCAAACCGTGGTGTCGCGATGAAGTTGCCGGCGTGGCTTAGCGGCTTTTCTTGTGTGTCTGCCGAACCTGTCGCCACTGCATTATTATCCGTAATACTGCACAAGGCCGATCGTCATCCTCTCCCTATGCGAGGGTGCGTAGGTAATCATGGCACATATCTCGGGGCGGCGCTCGCGGACGGGTTCCAGTGGGGTTCTGGGATCGGAGGCCGTGGGTCCAGAGATGAGGGCGTGGGCGTGGGCATGGGCGGCATTGAGGAGGGTGGGAGGGATGTAGCGAGTGCGGGAGTGCAACGGTGGCATGGCGGACGGGTCGTGGAGATGACGGTCTTTGAATTGGGTCGAACTGACGTAGCACGTCTTGAAGACTTGGCGGCGCCGGGAATGGGGGCAGCTGGTACGGAGTACAGGTATGGATAGAAGCGAGCCTATCCGGTCCTTCTTGGAAAGGCCTCGTTCCAATCCAAAGAGACGATTATCCACATAGAGATTGAATGTCCATGTTGGTATCCGTATCTGTGAATAGGTAGGTAGGTACGGATACCGGTGAACTGCATTGGCTTCTGTAGCGAAAGCCAAAGAGACGCGTACTCTGTCTTCGCTTATTTAGTGCTTTGCAGAGAATTATTGCTTTTTGAAACTCCGTAACGGGGAATCTATAGCGGAAGATGCCGTAAGCTTTGATGGTTGGTTCGGGATACCTACGGCCTACGGGCCAGGAATCGGAGTGAGATGAAAGCAAAGCAAAGCAAAACAAAACAAAACAACGTGATGGAGGTAGCAAAATAGAAAGCCAAATCAGCCATATGCACGATCGACATGTGTGATGTTATTTTGGTCGCAAAGCTGGCATGAGCCGTCAGCCGCTTTCCCTTCAGCCCTTTGACAACGGAACGCCGGGAAATCAGCACCTACCTTGAGCTTAGGTAAGGTTGAGACTAAAGCAGGTAGGTACTACCTAAGCAGGAAAGAAGCGCGCCTGGCGTCTGGGACGGTTCGCAGATGAGCCTATCACCCGCCTGAGGAAGTCACGGCGTGGTCCGGCTGGGCAGTCTCGAGGCCGGGAATGATCTAGGACGGTAGGACCAGTGGTGATCAGTCTTGCGTCTTGCGTCAAGGACTAGAAGTAGAACAAGGGGAAGAAGAAAAAAAGGTTGGCAAGAATGTGGCTGTGAGCCAGGCCTCATCTCATATTTTCGATCGGATATCCAACCAACACTGTCTCCATCATGACGACCACAGATCACACACTCCGAACCAATGTCAACAATAGTGCGTGCTACTGCTACCCAGAAGTTTTCCGGGTCCATAATTACTACGCACTGCATACTGCCCTGATAGCAGTTGCAAATGAACGGTAAGGTAGCGTGGCCGTTGCTGGCTGTCAATAAAGTCGTGCATGTTCAGGGGAGAACGGGGAAGAAGCAGCGGGGTCGCGTGTTTTTCGAGAGCGGGTTGACTTGCAGGTTTGCAGCAAGCGGCCCACCAGAGCAAAGTATCTCACGGTCCTCGCATGTTAGCACGGCCATGAGCAAGAGGCAGCCACCCGGCCCGTCATCCAATGTTGTGTGCAGTGCATCCTCGGCTGTGCACTAACAGAAGTGGACGGTCCACGATACGGTCGATACCCACTCCAAGGGCCGCTGGGCGCACCATCTCCACGAGCAGGTCCTATTCCTGGCGCAGCCCGCTGCAACCTGGAGCCCGGGTTCTCTGCACAGCCCTACTGTCCCTGGAAAGAGCCAGCCTCTCTTGGTCAAGGTGGCATTGGATCGGGGGAAAGCCTGGCACCTACTGAGGTGTGGACGGGTATCCGTAGTGTGAGGTAGTGGACGGAGTACTGCGTACCTAGGTACGGTTACGGTTACTGGCAGAAAAGTCTGGAGAGATTGAATTGAGGGCACTGGCTTTCTGGCTGTGCTATGCCGGCGCTAACGCAATCCAAAGATACGGGGGCCGACACAATGGATAAATCGATAGAAGAGATGCACCGACCTGGGGTCCTGTAGCCTGTAGGTACCTATGAAGATTGAGGCCTCTTGCTGTTATCATATTCCTCCTACCTTACTTTATGAATCCTTCACTTGCTCCCGTCGTCCTTGGTCCTCGGTTTGGATCTTCATCTTCTTCATCTTCTACTCTTGATCGCCAAACGCCTAAAGGCCAATCGCTGAGCGACTTGGAGAAATACTGTCGACCGTTCGACCGTCAGAAAGCACTAATACGAGAAAAGGAAACAGCCCAGTCCTGCAACCACGCAACAAAGTACAAACTCCGTAATACCAAGGAAATCTTCCCAGGCAAACCACTCAATCCGTGTCTGATCGATCCATTATCGGCCAGACCAGACCGCACCGGCGACCCACCATCCACCCGCCTTACTTGCAGCCTGCGCACGCTGCACGCCTCTCAATTCAAGACAACACCTCACGCTCACCTTTCTCGAGTCTCACCTCACCACCTCATCATCACTGCTGCTGAAGGAGCCAGAGTTGAATCCATCCACCCATTCATTCGACCACCCTCAATCCATCAACCAGCAGTTGATCGCCCAGTCGGACGAATCGAATCCCACACAGACTTCTTGGAAAGCACCCGACCCGGCCCTCCTACGCTAAAGGAAGAACCGTCTTACCTCACCGCGCATCTACGCTACAACGCACGCAGTAATTGGAACAGACACCCGGCATCTGACTTTCGAAAAAGAGCCGCCATAGCAATCTTGGCCCCTCATTCTTCCTAGGTTTGGTGGTAATAACACCACTTATACCAACATCCTCACCCACATCTGCAGACTACTACAACAACAACAATAACCTCCGTCAATCCACGCCTTACAACGTCGCTCTTTTGCCCTATTCACTCATTGTCAAAACTCACTCGAACCATTGACTACGCAGTACGGACACACTCTTGCGCCTTTCCCGAAAAACTTGCCAAGGTTGTCATCGCTTCCCGTCCGCCGTCGTCCACCGCCCACGACCTTCCCTGCTCAGGACCTTCCTCTCTACATTCCCCTTCCCTTCTGGTCCTTTTGGGTCCTTGGTCCTTGGTCCTTGCTCCACTGCTGCTTAGCGTCTCTTGGACTCCACCCCCCCTCCTCCTCCTTCCCAGCGGACCCAGCCAGCCAGCTCACGCTCCAGTGGCTCCTGCACCTGCACCTGCACCTTTCTTTCCACCTGGCACACCCCGGTTCACACAACCACTGCCCCCCCCGAAAGCCCCAAGCCCCAAGCCCGTGGTGTTCCGTCCTAGGTACCTTACCTCTCACCTCATCTTAATCGGATAGGTACCTAGGCGCTGGGCTTTCTCTTGCTGCGCACAAGGTACCGTTGCCTGCTGCCTTCGCCCCCCCTCCCGCCAGGTCCCTACCGACTCCGTACGTTACTACGTATTCTTGCGCCTGTCAAACCCGGAGACAGCGAAGAAGGAGGAGAAGGGGAAAAAAAGACAAGAGCCCTGTCTGTCTTTGAACAGATCAAACTCCTCATCCCGTTTCAGCTTCGCACCAACAACATCTTCGCATTCTCTCCTTCTCCAACAGCTTTGCCCCTTGCTGTCAACCAAAACCCAAAAACCCAAAAACACCCTTACTACGTACCCGTCAGGTCCTTCAGGGAAATCCAAAACTTAATCCCGTCACTTTCCTCTCCCTTTCTTTTACTTTCCTCCTTTGATCATTCGCGCCTGATTCCCTCTCGAATTTCCCGCCGACGGGGTCCTCCCTCGCTCTCCACTCGCTTTCCACACTACCGTTATCCCTTGACCACACGATTGAGACGAGACCACATTGAGTCTCTTACTCCGGTTCCTCCCAAAAGAAGGACTTTCATTCGATCCGACTGTCCCTCTTACCGCCGCTGACGCCCGCCTTTGTGTGCCATCTTGCACACCATCGCCCAACCCGACACACGACGTCCAGTACCTTCCGGCACGCAAACACGCACCCACCCAGCCTCCCTTCTCATCCGACGCTTTCCCACCACTTTTAAGCATCATCTCATCTCGACTCCTTCCGGGGAGTCGCCAATACCGTCGATCTGGCTACAAGGCTAGACTCCCGCCGTTCTTTGCTCGGCGGTGACCCTAACTTCGCCGGCTTCGACCAAGAACTCGCCGCCCGCCAGTACGCTCAACAGTATCAGCAACAATACCAGCAGCAATACAACCCCCCGCAAACTTCAAACAACCAAGGCTACGCTTTTCGCGAAGGTCTCGCTCCATCCACAATGAACGGATCGCGCCCCAGCAGTGGTGCCAGTGGTCCCCTCGGCTTCGGCTTCATGGGTGCCAAATGGCCCAGAATCTTTTTCCTCATCACCCTCGTCCAGGCTCTGCTTTGCCTGGGCTTTGAGTGGTAAGCCGGCAATCCTCCGTCGCATTGGGACTCGATTGGTGCTAACAGCGACGCAGTTATGTCTTCTGGAAATTCCAGACTGGTTTGACCGACCAGGACCCTCACCAAAATACAGATACTACGGATGCCACCGACTCGCCGAGAAGGACGATCCCGACGTTCCTGACGCTCTTCATCTTTGGATTCTTGTACGAATTGGTTATCGTCTGGGATGCGCTACGGGCAAAGAACACCATTCAGGTTATCGGAGTGTGCATCGCCAATCTCGCTTTACTCGTCTACACTGCCATCCAGGTCGAACAGATTGAGGAGGCTGTGCAACAGCTGAAGGACAACAATGCCCTGAGGGACCCGACCGACGACATGTGGGCCGACGTCAAGCCTTACCTCGTTGCAAGCCCCTGCGTCTTGGCTTTTGGTACCATCACCATGGCCTTGACCGCCTGGAAGCTTTACCAAGTTTTTGCTTGGGACATTCTGAAGACTATAGGAGCCGACTACAGAATGAAGAAGCGTTTCCTCCACTACCAGGTACGTCACCAGAATCACTTACCTTAGTTCCAACATGGCTAACATGACGACATCTAGATTTATATCGCACTCCTGAAGTTCGATTTCTTCTTCTTCCTCGGTTTCACGGTTCAGTTCTTGGTTATTGTTAACGCCCGCACCGACGCCGAATTTGGATTGACCATTGCTGCGATTCCGATTACCATCGCCATTTTGCTTTTGGCTGCATGGTTTACCAGAATCGAGAATAAGGTTGGCATGGCCACTGTTCTCGTCCTCTACTTTGGCGGCTTGAGCTACTTCATCTTCAAGCTCGTCCGTATCTACCAACCACACACAGCCGAGCAGTACATGCCAGTGCGCAAGTCACTCACTGCCTTCACCGTCATCACCATTCTCCTTATTATTTGCACCATTGCCAACTGCGTGGTCTGCATGCGCAACTTCGGAGCCGGCTTGAAGACCCACCTGCGGAAGCCGTCACGCGATCTCGAGAAGAGCCAGGACCTCAACTCGATCAACCTCCAGGATGTCAAGCCGCAAATTGCGAGCAGAATGACGATTGATTAAAGAAGGGGTGGAGCTGGCTTGACCCGACGAGGCAATGCACGATCAAAGAGATACCGCTCGATTGTACAAAGAAATGACTTAACGAAACAACGCCACCTTTCTTATCCCAACAAAAAACCCCTCTACGGGATCGTAGGCGGACGGAACGGTGGACACGCGGGGCCGGGCGCGTGTTGGACTGATTGAGATTCCCCAACATCGGCTGTTACTTTTTTCTTGACTTTTTTCTTGACTTTCTTGTGTGATACACACTGTATGGCGTTGACGATGCTTGATCTCTCCACCTAGCGAGGATGAAGAAGACTGGCCCTACATGGCGGAGTTATGGATCTGTTTCTACGTAAAGAGTCGCACTGGCGGCGAGATCCCGTCTGGGATATCACGATGGTTCCGGGAGCAGCCGGAAAGGCTCCGACTTCCTATACGTATCTACGTCGCCTTGGGGCCCGAGATGCAATAAAATACCTTTCCTTAGTGTTGTAACTTAGCGTTAGCATGAGGTAATTCAAATACCATGATGAAAGCCAGTGTTCCACCCAAGAAGGATTGCTCGATTTCCGCTGTCCGTAAGGGCTACGTGCTCTGGATGGGGCCTCGCCATGAGATAGATGTTCGCTGCCATCCCAGATGACCCGGTATTCGTCAAATTGTGCGAACCAAAACCAATACCACCAGAACTGATCACATATTTGACATGCGTTTGCATTTACGCTCGCTCTATCCTACTTGCTCAAAAAAGTAGCCCGAATCGCTGTACCAAACAAGATTGCATCCGAAACCTAACGCCACCCAAAATAAAAGAATGAAGTGACCTGCCCCGCCGTGATTGAGGGAAGCTGTACCCGTCGAAACGTCAACCCACAACGCCTGTCGTCCTGGTACCAGACCTACTCATCTCGCCTAACAAGCAAGTGGCAATGTAGGCCATTGCGTCTTGCACGTCTTCCGCCATGGAAAGACCAGTGCGTTGATGAGATGTTTGTAATGTTCACATCTATCCTCCAACTCGAAGCCCAATTCGTCCTACAACTTAATCTCCCGAGCATCTTTGATGTGGCCCTCGTTGGGGCAGTATGGACACTTGAAGCGGGAGCCCTTAGTCAGGCGCTGAAGTGACTCTTTGCAGATGACGTGGCCGCAGGGCAGCATCATTGGCGGGTTCTGCTCTGTTGTTTGCTCTTTGCTCACGGGGCATACGAAAATGGGGTGGTAGATCATGCTGCGAGGTAGCGGCGTTTCGAATGCGAGTTCGCTTTCCGTTGTCCATTCAGTTCGCTTGGCTTTTACGTATGTTGTGTACTTTATGAGCTGGGGCAGGGCGATGGCGCCGGCGGTGGCAGCGACGTAGAGTGGCGATTCGGCGGAGAGGCCAAGAAGAGAACAGAACTCGCGCGTGAAGGATAGGGCAACGTCGTCAAAAGCGGCAGATGTCTCGAAGATGTTGGCGTATGGCGACTGGCCGATGTTGGATGCGTAGACCATGGCGCAAGACAGCTGCTGGATCTCCTTGATATGGCGAGCCTGGAAACGGCCAAAGTGTATTTGTGCATAGGCAAGGGCACCTATCCGGCCGTTGTGCTCGTCATCCGGATGTCCGTTGACTTCGGGACCCTTGAAGAGCCAGACGAACTGAAGCTTGCTGAGTTCGAACTCAAGGTTGGAACCGCGGGCTTCGAGCTCATCGCTATTGAGACGCGCCCAATTTATAGCTGGAACGAGGTTTCGGTTCTTGAGCTCGTTGAGGATCTTGTACATGCTCGCAAACTTGTCCTGCAGCTCCTGAGACTGAAGAGAGTGTATGTCCGCATCGAGAGCTGGATTGTTGGCGGAAAGTGGCGGAGGCCGCTCGTGGGCTTCGCGGAGGAAAGTCGACGCCACGCTGAATTGGCCCTCGCGGAGCATGTGCATCGCTACGGCGCGGTTGATTAAGGAGGGATACGCGGCCATGGCATCGTAATCTGTTGAGAGCGGTCGGAGGGGGAATGACTATAGAAACGGGCGTAAGTCGAGGCTCGTTTTGTAACGAGAGATAGTTCCTTGGACGCATACCTTATCAAGGGCCTTGCCATACGTCTTCTGGGCTTTTGAGACCTCTTTCAAGTCGTTGTTGATTGCATCAAACCCCGCAGTAACGGGGTTCTGTAGCTTGGCCATCGTCAAGCCTGCCCGGTGCGGATCTGGGGTGCGGTATCACTGTAAGCACACGACCTGTGGCGGCAGCATGGAGCGGGGCAAGTGACATACCATTGGCGACTTGCTCCCTCGCCTGAATGAGGAGTTCGAGAAGCTTGTCGGTATCTTTGACGGCTGAGTTAAGTGTCGCTCTGCGGAAGCGCGAGAGCTCCGCCTGAAGGGTGACCATGGGGTTTTGTTCTGCCATGGTGGTGGCTGGATGCGGGAGGAGAGGAGGGTATATCCGTATTATGTTTGCTTGCGTGTAGCTCGAGATTCGGGAGATTATGACGGGAAGATCATGGCTACAGGCTCCCCACAAAAGCTCGGCTTGGTGGTGGGAGGACTGCTCTTACTGTTTGTCGGGAGGGGGTTCACGGCGCAGGTTTGGTGGTCCGATGGTCCTGCTCTGGAGGTTGAAGGGTGAGGTTGAGGTAGGCACAGACCGACTTGGCCGTCACCGATAATGGAAGCTAAGGTTCCTCGGCTGGCGGGTTCACTGATAAAGCGTCAGGCGGGCACCCGCACCTATCTTGCGCCTTGGGGTATCTAGGAACCTCCATTCCAGTACGCTGTGCCTGCTGTAGCCGCTGTCAGTGTAACAGTGTCCCGGTCTTGTAGCACTGGATCGACCTGCCGGCGAAACAGCGGCCCGGGAAATTTAAGCGATGGTTTAGCGAGGGGAGGCCTGAAAGCACGGGGAGGCAGGGGGGGTTAGCTCGGCAGATCTGGGTCATTACAGACGTGGGGACGGGGAATGTTAGCGCCTGCTGCTCGATAGGTTTCGTGCTACCCTTCTTCCAGTACTGGTCGTACAGCTCCCGGCCCAATCAACCAACGCCAAACCACGACAGCGACGGTAGGACATTGCGTCACATGCCGACCAGCCCTCCGAACATAAAGAAAGACACAACCTATCGATCGAAGCGGGAGAACATTCGAAGCACCAACGAAGCAACCCGACGAACACGCCCCCCCTTCCAGTCACATGCAGAGCACCCGCTGGATATTTCTTTGATTGCGCAGAAACCCCCTTTAGGCGAGCGATTACGACGACTATGACTTCTTCGTCTTGGAGATAGTCGCAGGCGCCTCCAAAAGTCTCGTCGATGCACCGAGTTTCACCGCCGCACTCCTGCAAATGGAGATGTCATTCCGCTTTCCCTTTCCCGTCAACGACCCGCGAATGCATCGCGAGGAGGAACTAACGCTGGCGAGAGTCGCTTCTCAGCGAGGCGCCAATGGGCCTTCTCCCCTGGGCACGCCCTTGCCGCTTGAGGCGCGAAAGGAGGCCTCTACCGAACCCGCGACACCGTCCCCCTTGCCGACGACGAAGAGGAAATGGGTATTCGCCGACCCTGTAGCCTTTAGGTGAGCTCTCCTATCCCCCGACTTTGAGACAAGCCCGCGTGCTGATAGTCTCCAAGATACCTAGAAAGCGATCCGGCGGTTACGGTCCTCGAGCGACGAGGAATCTTACAGGGATACGAGTTATACTTGGTCGAACAATGGGCATGTTCGCGGAAATCGCCAACGCTGGTTATTGTCACGTACACGGGTGACCCGAAGCATCAGGTCGTTGTTGGGGTGCTGGCCGTCCCTGCGGACGAGAGCGTATGGTCCGACCGCTTGCGATTCTACTTCAAGGCCATCCATCAGTACCATGCTCGGCCGAAGGAAACGCCGTTGGGCGACGTGATGGTCACGAATCTCAGCAGCTTCCCCTCAGCTCTGACAGTTATCCCCGTACCCGAGGGCGATATACGCACCCATCGTCAGGCCTTCATCGTCAACGAGAACCTCAAGCGACTAGGATGCTCTGGCCGATCTGGCATGAATCTTTCAGACCCCACACCTGCAACCCAGGCCAAATTTTACCAGCTCTACAGGACAAGCGAGAAGGTTCCCTTTACCCAGTCGGCAGTGGAGCTCGTCAAATTGTGCCAAGTCTCTCTATTCATGTTTGGGAAACTGGACATGGAATACATTGACGGTTTACTTTGCGACAAGACTGAAGAGTCTATCGGAAATTGGTGGACAGAGATTGGAGCCGAGTGTTACAATGTTGAGCCCACAGACGGTATCTTGGGTCCAACGACAACGGCAGCCCTGCTTGGACTACTGATGGGCGCCAGGAACCGACTGCACTACTATGGCGCACCTGTGTCCAAGGACGTTTTTGACATTGAAAGCACAAAAAGGGGCATTGGGTACTTCCAGAAGGCGTACAAGCTTGAGCGGACGAGACGTCTGGATCGTCCGACAATACTCAAGCTTCATTCTGTTACGGCAAAAGCTGCTGCCGGTGAGGGCTGGGGCGTGCAGAAGGCAGTCAAGTCCACCGTCGCCGAAATCGGCGGGAAAAGGGGCGAGCTCGTCATCGGCATGGTCGGCGGGAAAGACAAGGCCGGCATAGCTGATATTGAGACGGTAGACATTGACAAGTTCATTGCCCTTGCGTACGGCGAGCGCGCAAAATGGCTCTGGTACGGAAAGCCCAGGAGAGCAGTGCCGGAACTACAAGAGAAGCCGACAGACGTGGCGCAGCCACTTTTCGGAAAGGATGAGGTTGCACCGCCGTCTAGCAAACGAACACAATCATTGCCGCTGGAAGAAGAGCTTCAGAGACAAAAGGAAGAATCGCCTGGTGTTTACTCAACCCCGGCGCCTGCCTCAGCTGTTAGTGTGGTTGAAGGATCGGGAGAGAAAGACGCGCTTAGAAAGACAGTCTTTAAATCGGTTGCTGGCAGAGTCAGTGATGCCAAATCTGGTCTCGGGCGCATAAAAGACGTTGTTGGTACCGGCCTGAGAGGTCACGCGAGCCGGCC